TTTTCGTTTCATCGAGTTTGAAATCACAACGATTCTAAAGAAGTTTCACTTCAAAAAGGTAGTTCAATTGATGCTGGCCAAAATATACATTCCGAATAGCGCTTGACATCAAATTTTCATAGACAGAAACTTAAGAGAAGCGTTTATGTATACTAGAGGTCTCGCAGTAGTCGAAATTCGACTATAATTAATTGGAATTGTAAGTTTGTACACTATTATGTATTGTATTTTATACTTCTATAATCACAAATTTCGCCAAGACTACACTATAAAAAATATTAACAAAGACAAACAATATTTAATCTCAATTTGACAACATACGTCAAAAACAAAAGTCTGACAATAAATAGTATGCATGCGTGTGTGCGTCAAATACATGGTATGTAGTGTGTGTAATGTTTTCTTTATTGATTTAATGTATCTTTTAAGCATTATTTAAAAAAATATTAGCATTGTGCACTTCTTCTCTATATCTTAATATATATAAATCTCATGTCACAATGTTTGTCCCCAATGGACTCCTAAACCACTTAACCGATTATAATGAAATTCGCACACCATGTGCAGTTCGATCCATCTTGAGAGATAGGATAGTTTAAATCTCAAATTATAGTCGCAATTTTAATTTATTGCTAATTATTTGTCTGTTATTATTTGACAGTCACAATTATCTGTTAACTCCAAATGATTCTAACAGATGTCGATACCTTTCGACTGGGTTGAGTAAGTATTCAATAGATGGCGCTGCTATGGTAAATCTACGAATAATGTAATATAACAAAAACTTTAGCCACAGCAACGCGTGGCCGGGTCAGCTAGTTCTCTATAAGTGTGGAAAATTTCATACTCCTCCGTCCGTGCAATTTTCGTAAAAAGGGACACAAAGTTTTTGCTTCACGTATTAATATATGTATATAATTATGAAAACGTTTCTAATATTGTACTCGTAGTTAGTGAATGACAAGTCGTACAAAATTATTATCACCGAACGACGTTGAGCTTACTAAAGAATCCTAAATACAATTATAAATTTAACGACAAATAAAAACCATTCGCGTATCAATAAAAATCACAATAGAATCATTGTGTGCTCATCACTGAATCTATTCATCGGCAGAATGTAGGATATGAATGACATTTGTCCAAAGGTCACGTACCAAGTTTCGAAATGTCAAGTGTCTGTCTAAATATTTTGATAGCTATTCGAACGTCAGTGACACTCTCGGGTATTTGTGTGCAATTTTATGAGAGTTATTTTACAATTTTAATACTTTACCATATTATTGTTGATGAGAAAAGTATACCTATGACATGCATTGATTAGCGATAAAGAAAGTGGGTATTAACTGAAACTGGAAATAGCAGAGGCAAGGCTTATTATAACACGTGGATAAGACCTAGATACAACAAGCACGGAATGATTGACATTTAAAGACAAAATAATAATGGGCTCGGGCCAAGCCATAATGAAAAGGAACAGATAGGCAGATGATTTATTTTAGTTATTTATGAATAAAGCAGATCAAGAATATACGAGAAAGTGACGTGGCCAAGAAAAAACAAAATTGACAAGAGGTTTAGTACCTTTTTTTTTAGGTAAGGTAAAGTGAGAGCTAAATCGACTACTTTACTGTGTATCAATAATGAAAAGAATAATCAAAATACTATATATTAATACGTGAAGCAAAAACTTTGTATCCCTTTTTACGAAAATTGCGCGACGGAGGAGTATGAAAATTTCCACACTTATAGAGAATATAGAGAAGAAGTGCACAATGCTAATATTTTTTCAAAATAATGCATAAAAGATACATTAAATCAATAAAGAAAACATTACACACACTACATACCATGTATTTGACGCACACACGCATGCATACTATTTATTGTCAAACTTTTGTTCTTGACGTCTGTTGTCAAATTCAGAATAGATTCAATATTGTTTGCCTTTGTAAAAAAAATTTATAGTGTAGTCTTGGTGAAATTTGTGACTATAGAAGTATAAAATACAATCATAATAGTGTACAAACTTACAATTCCAATTAATTATAGTCGAATTTCGACTACTGCGGGACCTCTAGTACTATCAAAAGCTTAAAAGTAGTATTAGAATTTAAAGCAAACCAAATTACGGTTTATTGCTAGTTTTAAGCTTTATAATCCAACTTTACATTACTTCCTTACTTACTTTAACAAATATAAAATTGTCTAAAACGTTTTTAGTTCAACCCGCTCCATTACCTCAATACAATATTAGATAATGATAGGTGAAAATTGATAATATCACTTACTGTTTCACTACTTTATTATTTCAATAACCAGTATAACCCCAACACACTTCACTGACATAAAAACTGAGTAAATGTATATAATAGATTCGCATGTTGAGACATTTCGTATATATATCGTAAGCTGGTGAGTCTATGAGTCTTTTCTGAGTCTATAAGTCTTTTCTCGAAGTGTCAGCAGCTGCAAAATATCAAGTCAATCGAACAAATGGAAGAAAAACGCTTCCAAAATCGGAAATAGCTTTATGTAATGCGAAAAGTCCGCCCATCCACTTATAACAAAGGTTTAAACCAAAAAGATCGTATTCAATAATTTCTAGTTAAGTGTTTAAATTTAGGATTAGATTAAACATCTGACAGAAAGTATTATTATAATTTAAATACCCATAAATAACTTCGTTTAATGTATAATCATGGGTTTTTTATTGTGCCCACGAGATCTGTAAAGTATTTGATACGTCGGAAATAATATAATGACAATAAAAAACGGGAAATGAAACTTTAAAAGTAATTTTAATTATGTCCACGATTCGGAAATCCGAAGAAAATATTAGATAGAAATTTTAATCATCGAAATTGCCTGAAAAACTAGAGAGAAGATACGATGACAGTTATGCAATTTCGCAATTTTCCACACGAGAAGGCACAGCGTGAAGTCTAACAATTAAGTAGTAGAATCTCAGACTAACGACTTTTTAGTAACTTAGTGACAAATACTTTTACTTACTTTTTTACTGGTGGTAGGACCACTTGTGAGTCCGCGCGGGTAGGTACCACCGCCCTGCCTATTTCTGCCGTGAAGCAGTAATGCGTTTCGGTTTGAAGGGTAGGGCAGCCGTTGTAACTATACTGAGACTTTAGAACTTGTATTTCAAGGTGGGTAGCGCGTCTACGTTGTAGATTTCTATGGGCTCCAGTAACCACTTAACACCAGGTGGGCTGTGAGCTCGTCCAACCATCTAAGCAATAAAAAAAAACGCGCAATAACATTTTAAGATTGGTACTAGTTTTTTTCCCTCCGTTTTTTATTCTATAATGATTGTCCGACACTTCAAATCGGAATGTATAACTGCCTCGCCGAAGATACGGGCAGGATTGTGGTACTTACTCGTACAAAATAACAATTCGTCTTCTCGCATTAAAACTGTACTAGATGATGACCGAGTTTTGCTCAGTTTTTTTTTATAACGCCATCTTGTTGTGTCTTTAAAGAGGTTAGTTGCCCTCCATTAAGAAAAATAGTATTATTATTCACCAATAGATGTCGGGAAGAGTTGATTATTGAAAACACGAATAAAACAACATATTCTGAAAATAAATCGTAGTTAGATCGATTTATCGCCCCCGAAATCCCATGTATACTAAATTTTAGGAAAATCGTTGGAGCCGTTTCCGAGATTCAGATTATACAAGAATTGCTCGTTTATAGGTATAAGAAAGATTAAATAATCTCAAAACTTACTAATTTTACAGGAGAGTGTTTTAAAGGTTTAACATGTGATATTTTTAATATTAATCATTTTTTGCAACACTTATTTTTTATTTTTTACCAGTTACATTATCTGTCTTTTACGGTAAGATAAAATTATGTAATAATTTTGTTAACAGTAGTCAAAACATAGCTAAACTAAAAAAAAAAAAACTAAAACTAAACTACGCTCTTTTGCCAGTGTTTTTGAGAAAAAATACTGGTGATACCAAATGATTCCTCATATTAACTCAATTTCGAATATTTTTGTAAATTCTACACTTTTAATGCGAAAAGACAAATTATGTATCGCCAGTCCTTACTTACGCTTTATAAATTTTGCGTTTTTTTTTTACACGAATTTCTTCATCATGAACACATTATAAGTGTGTTTTCCCTTAGTCAAAATTAATAGTTGGATGTCGGATTTGAACACCGGCATAGTTGCATCGCTCAATACGAGGACACCGAACGTCTACTAAAAATGCATTTTTCGTGTTACGCACGTATAGCGTGTAATCTATATATTAATACGTGAAGGAAAAACTTTGTATCCCTTTTTACGAAAATTGCGCGGACGGAGCAGTATGAAATTTTCCACATTTATACAGAATATAGAGAAGAAGTGCACAATGCTAATATTTTTTTTTTAATCTATACTAATATTATAAAGAGGAAAGATTTGTTTGTTTGTTTGTTTCGAATAGGCTCCGAAACTACTGGACCGATTTGAAAAAATCTTTTTCCATTAGAAGCCGACATTGTCCCTGATGAACATAGGCTACTTTTTTTTATTTTTTATTTTTTTTGGTTTCATGTGTGTTTTAATGTTTCCGAAGCGAAGCGAGGGCGGGTCGCTAGTAATGCATAAAAGATGCATTATATCAATAAAGAAAACATTACACACACTACCATGTATTTGACACACTCACGCATGCATACTATTTGTTTATTCTCAAACTTTTCTTTGCAGTCTGTCAGTTATAGTCTGTCAAATTGAGAATATATTAAATACTGTTTTCTCTTTATTAATATTTGTCTAAAGTGTAGTCTTGACGAAATCTGTGATTAAAGAAGCATAATAGTCCTTGACAATAGAATCATAATAGTGTACAAACTTACAATTTAAATTAATTAAAGTCGAATTTCGACTACTGCGGAACCACTAGTCAAACATAGTTTTGCAAGAGCTTCATTATTAACCAAGCAATGTATAACGTACATAAATGTTTCTCTGTTCTTACCTGTAAGCGTGGACGTGAACAGGGCAGCCGGTGAGAGGGTTGTACAGCAGTAACACACACGCGACCACATCTCCTTGTGACACGGCACTCGTGATGCTGCCGTGAGGTATGAAATGCTTGATCGTCTGCTGTTTTCCCTTGGCTGTTACATTCTGTATAATTTTCAGGCCTTTATGTGAAACCTGTCGAAATAGAGTTGAATTTTATTCTCAGTTTTCCATAGATCAACCTACTGCTTACTGGTGGCAGGACCTCTTGTGAGTCCGCACGGGTAGGTACCACCGCCCCGCCTATATCTGCCGTGAAGCAGTAATGCGTTTTGGTTTGAAGGGTGGGGCAGCCGTTGTAATTATACTGAGACCTTAGAACTTATCTCAAGTTGGGTGGCGCATTTACGTTGTAGATATCTATTGGCTCCAGTAACCACTTAACACCAGGTGGGCTGTGAGCTCGTCCACACATCTAAGCAATAAAAAAACAAAAAAGTAGCACTACCGAGCTCTCGATCTGATTCTAAGGAGTCAGAGCTCACAGAAGCCTATAAACAAATTTTGACGCCCACTTTGAGACTACTTTTGTAGGCAGCGACTTGGCTCTGCCCCTGTTGCCATTGCTGAAGTCCATGGGCGACGGTGACCACTCACCATTAGATAGGCCTTATGCTCGTCTGCCTACAAGGGCAATAAAAAAATACTATTGAGGCTTGGGGTTTATGAACATCGTATGATTGGAATCAAATCCTCATCTAATATACTTTGCGATACTTAGACCTCAGGTCTTATAGTCTGCATACACGATTTGATGTCTATAGGTTCCGGTAGTCAACTCTAGGATGGCGGTGACCTCGTTAAGACGTCTGTAAAATAAATTATAAAACTCCTGTTCGGAACTTCTCTGTGCATACGGATTTTTGATTTAGCAAGTCCGTCTCTGTTTTAAAATACAAAGTCAAAGAATTTTAACTCCCATAAACCTCTTATCACTGTTCTCTTGTTTATTGTTTATATTATATACGTATTCAAGTAGATTTGCCCTTTAAGTCATTATCTGTTTTTATGCATTCATATTGCCTATTTCTTCTTCAATCTGTGTCCACCCAATGCTGAGTGTAGGTCTCCTCAAATGCACTCCATTCTTTTCGGTCTCTTGCCTTTTGAGTTAATATGTTAATATTTGTATAACCGCACTTTCATTATTATTCTAAAGCCTCTCGCGTATTTGCTTTTTGAGATTTATTAGAAAAATGACCAGTGTCTCTGTACTTAATTTTTTATATTTATCTACGGCTATTTTTCATCGTGTACAAAAAATATATTTTAATTAGTTTTAAGCTTGTAAAAGAAAAAAAACTTATTGTCACGAAAGTCCATGCTTCTTCGATTAATCATTAGACATGACAGAAACATAGATGAAAGGCAAGATATAATAAGTAATTAAATCATTATACAACAAGTCTTGTGACTGAGATAACTTTAGAACATAGAGAGACCTGAATCAACGACCCCGGTGATTACATAAGATGCAATCAAACGTCATATGATCCATTAGCATGTACATACATCAATATGTCGAGAATATATCGTTAATTATAACTTTCGGTGCGACCTTTCAATTACATTTCGCGATTATTCTAGAAACGATTTTGATTTATATAACACACGTTCAAAACGCTTATATTATTATGTCATGTTGTTTTAAACAGCAAAGTTTGAGGGCTTTCCGTACCTATGCAATGTGTAATTTAAGACAGCTAAAGGGATTTCTCAGCAATTTCTAGATATATATCTAATAGATATATCTAATATAAGTATAAAATATAATCATAATAGTGTACAAACTTACAATTCCAATTAATTATAGTCGAATTTCGACTACTGCGGGACCTCTAGTTAACATTATTATGACTAGATTTATAGACACCACTAGCCTCCACCCACGTTGCGATCCGAGATCAATTGTATTGTGATATTATAATTTTGCGTAACTTGGATAGCAGTACACCGAAAGTCTAATCACGAAGTAAAAAAAGAATGCAACAGGTTACTGACCTGCAACGTAACCTTGAAGGGCTCCAACTCCCTCGCTCTCTCCTCCAGTAACGTGATCGCCGGTAGCGCAAACTCCTCGCCCCGCAGACCGCGAGATTCCTGAGCCCCGAGGAACCAAACGTAATACGACGCTTTCTTGATATCCTTTTTAAGTCGCAACGCCATTTTGTTGGAGCCTTATGTCATTGTTTAATAACTGCAACAAAAAATCATTCACAGTGAACCTTAGTTTTGTTTAACTAATGTTTAACTAGTGTTCGGGCGTTCCTCTTTCCCTTGGATCGATAACTTGCGGCGATAGTCTGGGAAAGATTGGATGCGGAAGGCGTAGGATCGTTCATTGTGGCGGACTACTTCTTACTGGTGGTAGGACCTCTTGTGAGTCCGCGCGGGTAGCTACCACCGCCCTGCCTATTTCTGCCGTGAAGCAGTAATGCGTTTCGGTCTGAAGGGTAGGGCAGCCGTTGTAACTATACTGAGATCTTAGAACTTATATCTCAAGGTGGGTGGCGCATTTACGTTGTAAATGTCTATAAGCTCCTGTAACCACTTAACACTAGGTGGGCTGTGAGCTCGTCCACCGATCTAAGCAATAAAAAAAAACGATGGGAGAGGCCTACATCCAGCAGTGAAGAGATACAGGTTGATTATGAATGCTTAAATGATATTCGCCCGTTCTGTCAGCAATGATACTCGTGGCTTGCTTGTGTCTTGCTAGCTTTATCATATTACAACATTGTACGCATAAGATCAGATTTCTAACTTACGAATTCGTAAGTGTTTCGAGATTCGAGTGTGTCTAAAAATCGGTCTAAAAATTGTAACAAATCGTTCAGTAATTTATAGATTACTAGCCGTACTCGCCCGCGTTTAAAATTAACAATTATTTATTGTCATTATTAGTATGGAGTCCAACATTCATATAAATATTAGCCTATCCATTAAGTACATGTATTTTCTACATGGATACCAAGTCTCAGGTTAATCGGATGCACGGTTCATTTGTTATAACAGAACATCCGTAAAAACCACTGTAGATTCAGATATTAGTATAGATAGACTATACTACTGTAGTGTCAACCCTCATAAACAAAGTCTAGATCCCTACAAGTCAAAAGCTCATGAAAAATTACAAGATCCATAATAATTTTGACGCTGTGATTTACAATTTACAAATTATCTAAAACATATTTCGCAAGAATACTGAGAAACCGCTAAACCGCATATAAGCCTACAAGAAGTGTGGAATGTCGTTTTGCTAAGAGACCACGTATTACTTAGATCGTCTCAACAGTTTTTTGATCAAAGCGAATTAGAAAGTAATTAAAAAACAATACGCTTTCAAGTCAAACTAAAAAATATGAATACTTAAGCACGAAAAAAGACGAGTCGCTCATTTAAAGTCTACAAGTTGCATCAAGCAAATTAAATGGGTGATTTTACGAAACTCTATACTACTATGTTTTAATTAAGGCCCCCCGTTTCATTTTTTTCCAGGCACGTACTCAAAAATAACACGTTGCAAATAAATTACGTACGCTTAAAATTTTGAAAGGGAATTTCACTTGAACGCCCTTGTGTTGTGTTTACCAACACTATTTGGATACTGGTTCGTTAGTATGCATCTGTTGTCGCTTCGACCGGGCAGTTGACCGCAGTTAGCGAATCGATAATGTACTGTAATGTTGTGAAGTCTGTACTTAGTAACATAATCATTTGATAAATGATTCAAAAACATTTAAGGATATATTCATAAGAATAACAAGATCTTCACAATAATTGCCCTTAGATATTTTAATGTTAATATTAAAAAAGGCGTCTGGTAAAAAAAACTTCACATAGTGTATAATACATTAAAATAGATAAATTGATGTTTGAAAATAAATCGTTCGTATTCACGAGGCCATTGTGTGATTTATTACCTCTGAATACGTATCTGTCTTTTAAACATGCACTTCAATGAAATTAAATTTTCTCACGCACCAGTTACCTAACTCATTCTAACCTTGGAACTTTTTTATTACTCGCCAACAATTATCAAAAATAAGAACTTTGTCAATAGGCATTTCGTTAGCATTATTAAGCAATCTTTTGAATGTATTATGTTTTATGTGTTCAATCGAAATGAAAATTGTTACGATTTATTCTCTTACCAGTTTCATTATTATTGTCTCGCGTTGTTTTATTAGTGTTTTTAACAGATGATTTTATATACACAATATGAATTAATGTAATAGATGAATCAATTAGATAATGAAGCATGACAGAAATGCAGGCTATTTTGTATTGTTCCATTAAAATTGCATTTAGAAAAATAAATGATTTTCGTTATTTAATGGTTTTTTATTTCTCTGTGCTACGTTTTCGGACTCAAACCAAACAACCGATTTCGACGATATTCGGCACGGAAATAGTTTGACCCCTGAGAAAGAAAATAAGCGACCTTTGTAATGCTTTATATGTAGGATGGGTCTCCGACCATACAAGTCCACTTTATCTTGCGATCGAAGCTACGGGCGGATAGCGAATCAGCTTAAAATTTATAAATAAGCTTACACATCGCTATTTTATATCCCAAGCTTTAAATTTATTTAAAATCGACCTCAAAGCCTGGATCATCTTATTTTATAGGCGATATTACCACAAGATTTTGATTTATTTTCCTTTTCTGCATAATTTTCAATAATTAATTTGTGATTTTGATATAAAACTCTTTCGTTGTGTGTATGTATCTCTTTGAGTGTGTCTATTAGGTTTCGGCAAATCTTATATTAATTTATCTGTGGTCGTTTGAACGAGGTCGGCTCATCAGTTCGACCAATTCAACTGTTTTGCATATTTAATAAATTTTATTACTTTCAAATGCAATAAGCCGACTTTCGGAACATTCTCGCAACGGTATTACCATATAACGATAGTTCAATTCGTTTTGCCCGGCATTAAACAGACGTGTGAACGCAACACTATACTTTTGCAATAAACTGGAGAGCAATTTGTCGAAATTACTCATATTATTGCGGTAACACTTGTAACGCTATTATTTTCGAGACGAGAACGTTTATTTGTGGCCGCGTTATCATATTATGGGACACATCGTGTACCATTGACCGTAGGAATGCGCTGACAGCAAAACTGAACGTGAAATAAATTCAGAGTTGCAATGTCTATTTGTTAATGGTAAATGTATTTGTACATGTTTTGAATTTCGTAAATATTCTCTGACGTATTTAGTCTTTCACCAATGTAGGAATTGAAGTGGTAAAATATGTTTTAGTAGTATTTGTCAGTTGAATTGCTTCCGCAGCTTTTCCCTCGAAGTAATTAATTGCTAATTTTTAAACCTTTGTGTTAACAAAATCTGTTCGTATTACCTATAATTGTTTATTTGAATGTCAATCTATAAATGGTTTGTTTAAAACTAACTATGTCAGGAAATCTTCATTTTAAGTCTGTTCAGCTATTAATTAGAAAAGAAAATAAAGAAATACGACCGTCGGCACCTTAATTTAGTGCTATGAAATACTTTTCATGCGTCCATGGAAGCAATTCAGGTATTGTTTTATTGGTACCCAATTTCTAATCATCTGGCTTAAATCTTAAGTATATGTCTAGCAATTTAATTTATTGAATCTTAAAACGATCAAAGGGGCACAGGGTTTACTGGTCCATTTCATTTTTTTTTCTTTTGTCTGATCTGTGATATTTACGGGTCTTTTATGAGCAAACAGTTTACCGGCACAAACGTTATTAAAATATCAACATATTGCTACACAATTTTGAGTAATATTTGAGCGACCCATATTTATTCTTGCAGTATTATTTTCTTCACTTGTTGACAATGCTAATAGTGACAAACTAAATATTATACATGCAAATACATGGATCGGAACAAATGGATTGAAGCTGAGAAGTCTTCAAGGAACTTTGTAATACACTTGACAGTTTAAGAAGCGGCCAACACACACGTGCCCGAAATTACTCCGAAGATACCGGTTCAATTTTCGCTGCTACCATCTTCTCACGTATAAAGTCAGCTTTTTTTTTGTTCATCCAAACAGCCGCGGCACGATTCCGTGAACCGACTTCTGATCTCCTAACGGTGTTTCTCTCGGCCGTCAGTCAGCCCGCGGTCATTTAGAAACATTAGACAAAAACTGTGTTAATAACCAAGTCGGTTCGCGCGCAGAAACCTCGTAACTGATTTGGAAATACATGTGATAAATAATCAGGTTAATACGGTGTGTATTTTATGGGTATTTATTACACTTTAATGCGTATTGCGAAATTCGTTTTATAGTATTTAATTTTGATTGGATTTGTTGATTTAAAGAATGGACTAGTTCGTGCGGTCTTTGATTTTTTTTAGCTTGAGCCGGTAGTTTGAAATTTCAATTGCACGGGATTTTGCGAGAGCTTTAGTAAAACATGTTCGGTGTGTGAATTTTTGAGATAAACATAACGCATCTATAATTTTTGTTGACTTTAACTTCATAATACACATATTATGTGGTACAATTGACTCCCCTACGCGCTTTGATTTACGAAACAAATAAAAAAATAATCTGCATATACTTGTATAAATAGAATTTATTCGATATATCGAAAGAAAGGAACTATCGAGTTAATGCAATTCCATTAAAAATAGTTTTAAAAACAACATTACCAAACAAACAAAAAACAAATTTATTCCCACAAGTTTACGATAGTTTACCTCACATTCCACTACGGCGAGGTTAGTTAAGCCGTAACGCACATTGACATTAACAGTGTCACCATACAAAACAACATGTTGTTTCGACAACAATATGTCATTGTTTCACGATTTAATGTCACATTACGTTTATGTCATTTCAATTAGTTTTTTGCGTGTGATTAATGTTTCTCGATTAAGGTTGATTTGTGTATTGTTTAGCTTGTATTATAGCAGAAACTTTTTTTAAGGGATTTTATGACCTGGTAACTAAGACCTTTAGGTCATGGCAGAAATTTAAGTTAAGAGCTATTTGCGTAGGGCTGAGACACAACGCAACCGAGTAAGGATAAGAGTGTTTTGCATGAAGCGAATTTTCCCTCGCCACCCTAACATCACGGGACGTTGAAGTGGCAGCCATTGCCGTCACGACCGCCGTTTCTCTTAGTCTGTAGACCATCCGCTTATATTGGGTCGCCAATTTATACGCCCAATATATCAGGCTG